CCGCCACTTGTCTAGTCACGCCTGGACACAATGGACCCACTACATACAGAGCACCACCTCTGATCTCTGTTGACCTTGACTCCCCTGAAGATGACCTCTGGTGACCCTGAGAAGCGTCGGAAGAAGAGGATGGAGATGTTGGGTTGTTGTTTGAAAAGTGGCTGTTGATTTGGGCAAAGAACTGGAATAGTTGCCTTGTTCCTTCATCCACACGGCACTGAAAAACAACCATCATTTCGCCTCATGAGTTCATATTTTTTTTCCTATCAGCGACGTATGCTGAAAATTTTTAGAGGGGTGGTTTTGAAAGATTTGACCAAAAAATTGCGTTTCTTCAGCCAAAGAGTCTTAAAATCTGATTGCGCGGTCACTTTTTTGTACGAATATAAAATCATTGAAAACAAACTGTTTAAGATTGAGATATTACCACTTTCTCAAAGTACAAACCACATCCAGTTAAAAGCTGAAAAGCATATTCAAATGGTGGTTCCCTATCAAAATCTAAATGAGTTCTGAAGCAAAGACAGAAGATATTCCGAAACTAGAGTTGACTGTAGTTCTAAAAAGATTTTTGAATATAAATCTGAACAAAGTCGACATACAGCTGCAAAATTAATCAGAATATGTTATCCATCAAGATCTTAACAAGTTTCCCAAAGATTTTAAGAAAATAGATTCGAAAAGCAAAACTTAAACATTGCCCCTAAAAAGACTGCGTGCAAACAATTTTGGATGATTTTATTGAAAACAAAACTGCTAGTGTCAGGGTGAAGCCTTGAATAATCCAGCGTTTTTTTGTATCTATTGAAGAGTTTTGAATTAAAAAAAATTAAAGTTTCAAAAAACTTCAAAAAGTTGCGTGTTTTTAGCGCGCCCTCCCCCTTAAATTTAGACATATTGTCGCCTTTAGAAAAATTTTGAGGCTGGCCAGCCTCAGCCAGAAATAAATGTCGTAAAACTTATACCAAAGGGGGAACCTTTGGAGAAATTTGTCAGACAGAATTGAAGAAGGCACATACCACCCCATCCCCCCCCCCCACCTCGTCACGCTACTGGTTCCCATCATCACTAACGCTTACTGAAATTAAGCACTGAGTATATGGGCCTTTTGTGTCACAGGCTTTGGAATGTATATTAACAGGATGCTGTAACAGTATTTATGATGGAAATGTTAATTTTTAGAAAAAAATAAGTTTTGCCGTTTTTGTGAAATTCTGAAAAAAGATCAATTCAAAGAGGATAATCCAAATAAACGAGTGAAACCTCTTGGAAAAAAGGTTCTTGATCATTTTTAACGCTAAATTGCCTAAGGAACAATGATTGGCCTAGAAAAAATGGGTCTCAAATTGCCAAAGCCAATTAATTTTGAGAATTGAAACTGACCCTTACATGATTTCCTAGAAAAAATTCGAATTGTATGAGTTGACCCTAATTAAATTATCTGAATCATGGCTTAAAAAATTTGCCGGAGTTTTCTTCATTGTAAAAAAAAATCTTAAAATCTGACTGCGGTTAATTTTTTGTTTGAATACAAAATCATAGAAAACAAACAGTCTAAGAGTGAGATGTTAACACTTTTTCAAAATATAAACTACATTCAGTTAAAAAAGTGAAGTGAAATGCATACTAAAATGGTTGTTCCCTATCATCAAAATCTAAATAACTTCGCAAGCAAAGGTAGAGCATACTCCTAAATAGGAATTCACTGTAGTTCCAAAAAATTCGAACATAAACCTCAGCAAAATTGGCATACAGTTCGAAAAATAATCTGAATATGGTTTCCATTGAAGTCTAAACAAGCTTCTAAAAACAAAACTTGAACATAGCCCTTAAAAAAACTGCGTGTAAACAATTTTAGATGATTTCATTGAAAACAAAAGTGCTAGTATCAGGGTGAAGCCTTGAATATTCCGACGTCCTTTTATTATCCATTGAAGAGTTCTCAATAGAAAAAACTGAAGATTCAAAAAATTTCAAAAACTTGCTATAACATTTAACATAAAAAATTTAAAAATTTGCTCTAACATTTAGCATACAATACCGTATTGGTTAGAACAATTGGTGTGCTTCCATTCAAGTTGCAACAACTTATTGGCTCTTAAATCAGCCGCTCACGCGTTTTTATCCAGAATGATATGCCGCGTTGATTATCGCAAATGTGCCAAACTGGCAACTTTTAGATCACTGGTAAACTACCATTTAAAAATTTTAAGAGTTTTTTCATGCAACTGACCAGATTTGATGACGGAGCTTGCGATCTAATATTGATCACAAACTTTCTATGATTTGCTCAAGAGAATTTCAAAAAACAAACAACTTTCCGATTCGCATTCCTATTTTATGACTTTTTGTACTGAACACTTTCGAAAGAACGCAAAAGAACCATGAAAAACCGGGCATTGTTTTCACGCAATTCAGTTTTCAGCATTCTCCAAGAACAATTACAAAGAACCAAGTAATCTTGAATTTTTTTGAAATCTGATTCGAAAAACTAGATTACTTTTTTTCATTTTTTAAGTTTTGCATATCTTTCTAAAATATTCTCAAAGTTTTGTTTCACCTCGTGACTTGCAATACCTGTCTAGAAGCGAGATGCCCTTATTTCTATATTGCACTCCCTGTACAATACTTTTAAAGTATCATCTAATTTAAGGATCATCGAAACATTTACCTCTTTCATACGGCCTATTAATAAGAAAGAGAGATCAAATGCGAGCTGTTTAGCGTTTAACGGAAGACCGATGATGTGCTTCTCATTCAAATTTTCATGCATTGTTTTTGTGTTTTCTTTTCGGGCTATGATGAGCTAATTTTTGCTGCCTCCCCGTAGGCAATGAGGACGAATGTTGATGGGCGTTGACCTTTCTATTTAGGCGCTCAGTAAATTCTAACTTTTCCACTAATAACTATTCAAAAAAGTGGAAAAATTCTGTGAACCGTTATTTATTTTATTCATACCGGCAGATATTTGTTACCAAATACCATAGGCTAAATTGCTAATTATCCCCCAAAATTTTTCCATTCATACGAGGAAGACGTCTGCTCCCTTTTTATTACAGTTTTTCTATTAGTTTTGTATCAGATGCATACTGCAAGAAATAATTGGCATTATATCAGTAAAAAAGGAGAAGGAGATAAAAAAAATCACACCAAGCCAATTACTTGTTGCGTATGATTCGCTCTGTAGATTCTATTAGTTTTCATGCAATCGCTTTTTTGGTTAGTGCATATAGAAATTTAGTTACTTCCGTTATTTGAATCTTTGATAAGTAATATCAACACAAACGCTCTGAAACGATGGACTCGGTTCTAAAACTAGATGACGCATTTTGCTGTGCAAATAGGAAAAAACAATCCAGCCAATCTATTTTGCTTCAAAATAACTAATAACGTTTTGTCTGTAAACATTTCTACTTGGCAAAAAACTTGGAACAAAGATATTAATTGCTAAAACAACGCAAATACAAAAAGTTAGAATTATTAATTTGGTGGATCAGTGAATTCGTGAATATAGTTTTAGACAACACTATCCCGTACCTACTAAATGGTCTAATTCAGATCTGAAATAATTTTTTTCAGATCTAAATTTCAGATCTGGAATGGGTTGTGAATTGTTAAAATAACTCTTGAATACTTTAAGAATGGAACATTACGAGCTAATTTCAGATTTGAAATTTTGTTTTTCTTGATTATTTCAGATCTGAAAAATCTATTTCAGATCTACTTTCAGATCTGAAATTTAGTCTTTCTTGGTTAATTCAGATCTGAAAAATCAATGATTTTGACACAACTTTTGCTTTATTGATACTTTTGTATTTGATAGATTCTGCTAGCTACTAGCATGTACGCAGCAAATTCTCCAATGCGAGACTGCCAAAATATGTTTCCCCAAGCATGAGATAAACATTGGAAACGCATAAAGAGCGCATGAAAGTCAAAAAACTTATAGTTCTTCTAAAAGTTTTTGAAAACTTTTTATCACAGTTGAACAAGAAAAACAGTTTGTGAAATTATTCAGAATTTCTTTTCTACTGCTAGTTAATCTAAGCATAATTGTGTATAGCATAAACATCAAGTAATAAAAACCCAATTGTTTCCTCGAAATGCTTAAGTTATAAATTAACAAAAGGTTTCTCAGATCTAATTTCACATCTGAAATTTTGTTTTTGAGGTTTATTTCAGATATTTCAAATTCTTATCCAGATAAAAATTAAAGAATCTGAGAATCAATTAATGTAAGCAAAAAAAAATGTCAGATCCTGCACAGAAAATCCCCCGGGTACTTGATTGCAAGAAAATCAGTGAAACTAGAAAAAAACTTCTGTTACCGTAATAGTTTTTATCCTGCAGCATAACTGCAAGCAACCTCCTGACGTGTGGCGATTAAGCGGTGCTTACAAGTTTGAAAGTCTTTATCGACAAATTTCTTCGCTGCGTTGTTCTTTTTATATATTTGTTCCCAAAATATTAAAATGATTCTTAAGTTTAAATTCTTGTCGTTACCGTCAAAAACCAAGGCTTTAAGCTACAACAAATAACAAAAATCAATGCAAAAAGCAGTTTTTTAGCAAAAAAAGAGTCAACGTTGGTAGTTAGAAGTATCGTGCAACTAAGTTTACCTGCAAATAAGGTAATTAGTGGGGTGAGAAAAACAAACAAAAAACGATTTTTGAGAAAAAAAAACAAGGATGCATCAGCTAAAAATCAGCTCTAAATTTATCAAAAATTTCAGCTAGCCTATTTTTATTATAGCGGAAAACAAGTTCATCAAGTTCATTAAATGTCTCTTCGGATGGATTGGTCGCAGCTTGGTAATGATCAGACTTAATAGTTTCAAACACAGTATTAATTCAGTACTGGAAGAGTACTGAAATATTTTGTCTTGATTTCATCACTAATCAATGTTTTTGTGGAATTTACCCAGTACTGTTACAGTAATATTTTTAGACTGGAATAATCCGGCTAAACTGTGAGGAGAGTGGTCGAAACAAAACTTTAAGGTGTTTCGTCCGAGTTTTTTTAACTGCGGTAAATTTGATGATCAAATAGCTTTTTTTAGCTAATGGCTGTCTCGCACTTCCTATTTAATATAAGAGCCAGCGACTAGCGCTCACGTATCAAATTTTTATACAAAATCTGTTTCAATTTCAACACAGAGTTGAAAATTCATGCGTTCAAGTATCTTTGTGTCACAGAAAATTTGTATGTCTCAGCAGT